TATATATATTATATATATACAAAAAGTTAGTTGTGCTCATGGTAATAAATACTGTACAATTATATTCAGGGCACAATTAATATACAACTCCAATTCGAAAAAAAGTTGGGCTGCTGTGTAAAATCTACATAAAAACAGAATGCAATGATTTGCAAATCTCATAAACCCAAATTTTATTCACAATAAAATATAGAAAACCTTCCATGAAAACGAAATAGTCGGGATGGGAGCATATGCTACTCTAAAACCTGTATATATATTTCAGCATTGATGGTGCTTTTCCATTCATGTGCTGCCCATACCATATGCACTAATGCATTCCCATACCATCAGAGATGCAGGCTTTTGAACGGAGCGCTGATAACAAGTCGGCAGGTTCCTCTCCTCTTAAGTCCTAGGGGCATAGCACTCATGGTTGCCAAAAAGAATGTAACATTTTCATTCGTCTGACCACAGAATAGTTTTCCACTGTGCAAAAGACCATTTTAAATGAGCTTTGGCCCACAGAAGACAGCTGCGTTTCTGGATCATGTTCAGATATGGCTTCTTCTTTGTGTGATAGAACTTTAACTGGCATTTATGGATTGCACTGCAAACTATGTTCACAGACAGTGATTTTTGGAAGTATTCTTGAGCCCATGCAATGATGTCCATCACAGAATCATGCCTGTTTTCAATGCAGTGCTGTCTGAGGGCCGGAAGATCATGGTCATCCAATATTGTGTTTCAGCCTTGTCCCTTTGCACACAGAGATTTCTCCAGATTCTCTGAATCTTGATGATATTATGTACTGTAGATGATGATATATATTTAAAGTCTTTGCAATTTTACATTAAGAAACATTATTGTGAAATTGTTCAACAATTTTTAGACCCAGCTTTTCACAGATTGGTGAACCTCTGCCCATCTTTACTTCTGAGACACTTTGAACTCTTTTCATACCAAATCATGGTACTGACCTGTTGCCAATGTACCTAATTAGTTGCAAAATGTTCCTCCAGTTCTTCCTTGTTAGTACCACTTACTTTGCCCTGTCCCAACTTTTTTGAGATGTGTTGCTGCCATCAATTTCAAACCTTATTTTTTTTCTTAAAATGGTACATTCTCTTAGTTTAAACATTGGATGTTTTCTATTTTCTACTGTGAATAAAATATGGGTTTATGAGATTTGCAAATCATTGCATTCTGTTTTTATGTAGATTTTACACAGCGTCCCGACTTTTTTGGATTTGGGGTTGTAGAATTCTCTACCATCTTCTGTAATTTGGTGTTCTATCAAAAACTGTATATGGTGGTCAGATGTGAAGAAACAATCCAACTGCCATGTGAGTTTCACTCCTTCAAAGTAACATACTCACAAATAAAGTCAATTCAACTGAGCATATGATGAATAAAGGAAATTGCCCAAGCTTGTGACACGTTTTCTTTAAAAGCTAGTCTTCTAAGAAACTTTGTAGACATTAGTGACACCCATGAGAAATCCTGATCCCCAAGCAAACCTTTGGAAGCTCCAGATATTGAACAACAGATAGCTATTATCTAACAGAGCCTGCAGGCAGAAAACAACTGCTTGGGACACAGAATTGCTTTGTTGTGTTTATAAATATTAGTGGATAATTCAAATTGCACATCTAAATCAAGCCTGAACTTTTTTGTTTGTAGTGTATGTCTGGGCAAATAAAAAAAAAGATTCAGTACATATATATGATATATGCACATGTTCCCAGGTTCTTCCTATTTATAGAAACAAATTGTTCAGCCTACTCTAACTAGCTTTTGAAAGGATTCAAAATATGTACTTACTTTTCTGCATAGCAATGTAGTCTTCCAGAAATCTATGGTACAAGCCTGTGCTTCCTGCCCTCTGCATCCTTCATTTCCTTTCTGTTAGACCATTAGCCACTGAGCAGTCTATCAGCCAAGCCAGTGGTCTAATAACCTCCCCTCTGTAGTTCTATTTCAGCCAGCAGGTAAGTGATGACATCCCAGCAACTTTTAATTTAATCTCAAAATTGAATTCACCTATAGAAAACCTGCAGCAAAGTAACTACACCTACAACTGAAAAAAATTGCTAGCTTTGCGTAATGTGGGGAAGGGGTAAAACCTATTTTCCTTTCTGTGTCCCCAACTGCAAAGTAGGATGGTGGACCAGCCCTTGACACAGAAGGTAAGGGTAGTCTGGAAGAGGCGATGGAGGGTCTGCCAAGAGTCTGAGTAAGTGGGAGTACCACGATCCTCCTGTAGTGCCATGAGGATCGCCAGAATGACCTCCGCTTTGATCCTAAGGGGCAGCAGAGGAAGAATCTTTCTGGTAGAATGAGGAGCCTCTGTTAGCATTTTGTTGTTTTCTGTTGCTATTCAACTCTGATGGAGACTGCTCACTTTCTGTTCAGGTCAGACAGAAAAGGATGAGAGGAGAAATCCCTTGTATGAAAACCCAGAAGGCATTTAAAATCTAAAAAAAGAAAAATCTCAACAGGGGCACAAAAGGCATTTAAAACTTGGGGGCTCCATTCATGGGCTAACTGCTGTAGATCCACAAATAATTTCCTGTGTACCACACAAACCTTGGGAACTGATGGCAGTCCTTGTAAGGGCCTATGCCAAAATAAGCATCTTAAAGTGATAGTAAATTTAGGAGTTAAATCTTAAACATGCATTCAAGTACCTTAACTATTAAAAAGATGTACATTATTTGTGCATTACTCAGCTGTAGTTGCCTAAATCAAATCATCTCTGAATTGGTGCTGACACTGGCCTTCCTTCAGGAGGGTGGCTACTTTTTTACTTCTCCATGGTCCCTGTGTGTGTTGTAGAGTAGCCACCGCTCCAAACTTGCTCCCATGATATACTATAACTTCAATACAAAATTGGATAACTAAGCGTGATACTGTAGTCCATCACGGGATTCAGAATGGAGTGGTGGCTACTTTACAACAAACATGGGGACCATGGGAAAAAAAGTAGCCACCCTCCAGAACAAAGGACAGTGTCAGCACAAATGCAGAGATGATTTGAGGATCAACAGCTGAGTGGTACACAAATAAGATACATTTTTGTTAATAGTTAAGGTACTTAAGATACTTCAATGCATTTTTAAGATTTAACTCCTGAGTTTAGTGTCACTGTTAACAGATGTCAAACTGATGCCATTGCCACAAGCTCAATGTCCGTCGATAAAGTGTTCCATGCTGGAATAGACTGAGGGACCATTGCCAGTGAGATCTTTGTAAGGAGAACTTTGTTAATGGGAATTGCAGAGATATGGTGACCAAGTGGGCAAAAAGGCATATTATGTGGCATCAGAAATCCCAGCAAGATGATATGAGTTTATGGTTAGCAGATCTAAGATTTTATGAAGTCAGTTGTCTTTAGGACAGACAAGAATACATATTACAATAGCACAAATATCTTGGTAAGCAAGCAAGTGTTTATTGGTTTGCATGCAAATGAGGAATGGCAACATAAGGTAGAGCAAAATCATAACTTCAAGACAGTATTTTAAGTTGTATGAAAGCTGTTTTTTTTTCTACCACTGGCACCTCCACATCTTTTCTTTCATTTAGGTGAACCATGCCAGAAACACTGACAAAAATGTTTCCTGGCACCTATGAAAAACCCCGGGCAACGTGGATGCTGAAAAGCAGAAGACTGCTCTGTTCTTCAGCATTCTTTCTATTAAATCATCTTTAAAAGGTAGACGTGTTCTGGAGTTCTGACTGAACGACAAAAGGTGTCATTGTCGCATGGGCATTAAAGTTTATTTTTGTGAGTTTGTACGAAATTCCCTGATATTAAAGTCTGACATAAAATTCAGAATGAAATTATTCAGCCAGAGCTTTCGTTATCAACTATGCCTGTGCAATGATAGTTGTGTTGCCCTTTAACCCTTTCGCTGCCAAGGACGTACGTCGTACGGAGGTACAAAAGTGCTTCCAGCTGGCCAGCTCAGTACGTCGTACGGACCTGGCATTTACAGTTCAAAACAGTCGATTATTTACAGTTTTGCATACCTTCATTTTTTTACCTTTTCGCAAAAAGGCGCAATTACAAATTTGCTAATATTTGTTATTTATTAACTCAATACAGTTTTATCTTTTAGATTTAGTCAGAAAATTATTTTTTTTTGTGCACGGATACTGATTTTGGTGTGTTTTAACAATTGAATTGTGTATTTTTATCGGTTTAATATTAATTTGAGAAACATTTGCGCAATTATCGCAGGGCCTACAAATTTAGTATCACCATCTTTTTATTCTACCGGGCCTGCGCTTTCAGAAAATATATGGTTTGGGGGGTCTTTTACAAACGCTAGCAACGCAGCAGTTGAAAATCAAACCAATAGGAAAAAATTGCAGAAAATTCAAAAATGGCTTGGCCAGCTGATTTGAAAAATGTTCCGGAGGGCTTGGCAGCGAAAGGGTTAATTTGGTGATAAAACACTCTCACCAGTGGAATATATTCAGAATTTGTATGGCATAAGTGGAGTTCTTTGCAGTTTTGAAAATTACTTAGTCCCAATTTTACTCTGAAGTTTAGTGTATGATTCACCCATATTCCGCAGATATTATATGTTATGTCATCAAGATTATATATAATGCTAATATTGCGTGATTCAGACCTCTGGCTTTTGGCGCGTGTGAAATGGAGCTGTGGCTTCTCTGTTGGGCTCTTTAGCTAGTGGTCTTGAGTGGATGATCCCCTCTGACAGAGCTGGGTCAGCCTGCTAACAGCAAATAAAACATATGGATCATACAATTTGTGAAGCAAGACAACACACATTACTTGGTGAATACAGTTCAGGTAAGCAAAAAGAAAGCTTTAGTACTTCAGCACACTGCACAATGGAACACATAACACTGACAGATATTAGGGGAATAAAGCAGTTGTAAAAATAAAGAAATTAAAACTTGGTTATAGTCGCCTGTTTGCACCGGTCATTCCCCTGCTGGCTGGATAAGCGAGTCACTGATCCCTAACTTAAAGTGGCATTCAGCAAATCTCTCAACGAGGGAGAAACGACTTGCTCATTCAGCCAGTGATGGAGCAACCTGTGAAAAAAGGAAAATTTTTTAAAGATTGCAAAAGTGACATCAGTCTAACTCTTCACGAACAATCATATAGCGTGATACACCAGCTTTACATGTTTAGCCCCCACCCTTTACATACACACACATGTATATATATATATATATATACGCATACATACTGCAACTGTGTACAAAAACACAAAAATTCTGCCATGAATTGTAAAACATGTGAAAAATAAATATATAGGTATAGAAAAGTATGCATTTAAACCCCTTTTCAATTATTATGTTTAACTCAAAAATTCTCTTTGTTTCTCTAGAGATCTTTATCAATAACACAAATGTAAAGTTACAGCAGGGAACAAACCATGAAGTTCTACTCTAAATGAAAACTAATTTGTTGCCATACTTGTTCCTGAACTGAACCTGTCTCTCAGGACCTGGGCTTCAACAGTGAAGCTGCCTAAGCCAGCAACTGCACAGTAGGACGGTGGATCGGCCCTTGAGACAGAAGGTATGGGTAGTCTGTAAGAGGCCATGGAGAGTCTGCCAAGAGTCTAAATAAGTGGGAGTACCACGAGCCTCGTTTAGTGCCACGAGGATCATCAGAATGACCTCTGCCTCAATCCTAAGGGGCATTAGAGGAAGAATCTTCAGAGAGGAAAGGCCTAGATCAGGTTAAACTGATCCTACCGAGTCACCAGAGCATCCGCTGTGAACGTCTGGGGACTTGTTTAGTTTGTTGTTGAACCCGTATAGGGACAGAGCTCCACCAGCTGATGGACCACATCCCTGGGCATATATAGCACCCTGTGGCTGACTCAATGTGTTGCACCACATGCTGAGTTTGAGCTTGCATCAGGGAGGGTTAGTGTGAGGACTGGGGTTACAGAAGGTGGGGGGGTAAGGTCACAGGGAGGGTTAATGTGAGGGTTACAAGGAGCACTGATGTGAGAATAATATTAGGTTTTTGGGAAGAGTTAGTTTAAGGTTCGTAATCTTTGGCCATCTTGACTGACTGGGCTAAAATTACAAACATCCCACACATGGGTGTGGAAGTTCATTCATTCCGGCACCGAGGCATGCCAAGAAAGTACAAAGAGCTGTGCATCTTAGGGTCCAAGGAGGCCTGCTTTAACATAGCGCTTGTGAATGCACACCATAACAAATCTTACCACATGGGGATTAATGCAACAGTCTGGTAAGAGCTGAATAGGCCAAGTTACATGGAGCGTTAGTGTGGGGGATGTAGGGTAAGTGGGGAGATCTGCACTATAATAGAGAAGTGAATTTTGCTTTTTGATACTGAAGTATGTCTGCAGTTATCTGTAACTGACAACAGAAGGTAGACACAACTTTTCATTTTGCTACAGTTTCCACAGGGCAACAGAATCTGAACATATCAAATATAGAATAGCGGAGAATGTAAGTGCACATAAAACATAACAAGACAGGTAACAATGCTATACTTTTAAACAGAATATATTCATTCAGCACAATTCTCAATTATTCCATTATGCAAGGAGAGGCTACTTAAAAGATTTAAAAGCAGTTTGAAAATATTCGCACAACCCACACAAAAACACCCACTCCCTCACACACCAAACACTGACAGTGCTTCACATTACCATAATACATTTGTTTCTGTTTTAAGAAACTGCAGCAAGGATGAAACAAATATAGAAGGGCAAAGCAGAGCGCAGATAGACGCACAGCACACAAAACGTGATTAGAGAAAACTAGGCTAAAGCTCCATTATAGCCTAATTCCACAGGAACACACATTAAATTCAGTGATGCAAGATAACAGGAGGTGTTTTTGCTGAAGCATAGTTTACTCTAACCTGAAATCACTCTATTATTTCTATGTAAATCAGAGCCCTGTGATTTTCTCCAAAACTCAAAAATGCAAAACATCCTAAAAATAAGACCGACAAGCGGCTGAAAAGGTTTACTAAAGCGAACACTCATCAAGGGCTTCTGTTAATGAAAAACTCTAATCTGAAATGTTTCTACAAATATCAGACACATATCACTAATGGTATATAGAGGAAAAATATGCCCACTTGAGAAAGGTAAAAATCATTAGCAAAAGTAAAGCGATCTGAACTATGGAATTCAAGTGTCCATTTCTAAAGGTTCTGGTGGAAATTTTGAAGAAATGATCAGTTAAAGCAAACTAAGAGCAGACTTATAGGTGATACCTTGCTATGATGTGCTTATGTAGAATGTATCATACAAGAATTTTCAGTTGTGATTGGTTAACAATGCATAGGTCATGTTGCCTGCAAAGTATAATTGGTCAATTCCCACATCATTGTTAGCCTCATGCCAAGATTACCGATTGGTGCAGTAGATGCCTAAGGCCTCATTCACACGACTAACAGCTGGCCCGTACAGATGCGTGCTGCATGCACGGCCGTATCGGGCCACTCCCGGGAGAGACAGGTGCTGCGTGCGATTGCACCCAGCAGCCTGTTCTTCTCTATGGCAGTACGTGGCTGTACGCTCACCCGAACTGCACGTACGTGCGGGTGTCCCTGCTCGGACACAGACAGCATCCATCATGTCTGAGTACGAGTACGGACACCCTGCCATAGAGAAGAACAGGGTGCTGCATGCAATCACACGCAGCACCTGTCCTCTCCAGGAGCACCCCGATAGTCTCTATTTTTAATGCATTTACCCCCAAATCTAAAAACTTTAAAGAACCTAAGAAACCAGGCAACTGTTGGAAGTTTACAGGACCCAAACAAAGCTTCCTAAACTTCCCAAAGTCATGATGACACAACAGACCAAGAACATCGCATTTTGTAACACATTCTGCAGAGTTTCTGTTAAAGGAAAAAGAAAGAGTCATACAACCCCCTGCTTATAATTATAGCCTATGCTATAATTTAAAATCACAGTCCCCTACATGGCTTGTTATATATAAGCATGTAGTGCAAAAACTCTAGCATGTCGGGCCCCAAAGACATTAGTTACGATGCCTTTTTAGCCTTGATAAACCAAACAGGCAAGAATTTATATACTATTAAACTGAAAATGAAACTAACCCTAGAAGTGTCTTCTGTGCAATCTTCGCGAGATGATCCAACAGATCTTGTCAATGTTCGATGTTGTACCTGAGGAGATAACAACTGCAGACTGTTGGCCCTTGATGCCATTCCCTGCCCAACACTTAGTCCTTGGTCATTGCCCTTAACTCGCACACGATCTCGACTCACATACATTGAATGCCTGTGAGGACGCTGTTGTGAGGAGAAAGGACTAGTGTAGCCCAGGCCATATGAAAAAGACTCATGTGGCGCTGAATGGGAGTGGGAATGACTACCATCCAGTTGATCAGGAAGTTTCAGCTCCTCCATGGTTCTGGAATGTCTAGTGGTAGGCCTTCGAGACTCTAAGGTCCCCTCTTTACGATTAGTCCTTCCAGAGGGACTTAACATGGCTCTACTGTCACCATGCCTCGGACCAGCAGGGCTAGTTGGAGAATTTAAGTCATGGCAACTGGATGGAAAATATCTACTGTTTGGCTCCAATGCCTGTCCTCTACTTTCAATAAGGTTTCCCACTGATTTTGAGTCTGTTAGGACACCATGATTTTTAGAATAGTTCATGTAGGAACTGCTCTTCTTTGAGGACTGTGGGATTGTGTCAATGTAGCTATGGCGAGCATGCCTTTCGCCAGGTTGTAAACTGCTAGTTTTGCCCTCCATGAATGAATGTCTGTTGTGCTGGGACCGGGAACTCGATTTCATGTATTTGCTGCCTGGTCCATCAGTTGCTTTTTGATCAGTGTTAAAATCAAATTCATTCTTAGATTTAGCTTCCTTTGGACTAACAAGATGCGGCAAATGGTTGTTGGATAGATCCTTGTTGCCAGACCCGCTTTGGTTACTCTTTTTTGGATGCACTGTTGGGCTATGAGATCCTGCCGGGTGGTTTCCATTAATGAATGTTTCAGTGGGTGGATGAGCTTCCTCACTTCGTTTTGCTCCAACCGAGAGAGACTGAGCATCTTTACTGTTTGATCTGTGATGTGGCTGAGAACTTTTACTAGATGGTTTCCTGAAGGACAAGGATAAAGCAATGAATAACTGTGACAACAAACGTAATAAAGTAAAAACAATCATCTAAATCACTATATTACTTGTGCTGCAACAACTGCTTAATCATCAAGTTTGATCTGCTGTACTACGTATCTATGCTATGAGTGTCATTATCATATATTCCGAAACTATATACAGTGCGGGTGGGTAACTGATAAGAAACAAGATAGTAAAATAGTCTTCTATGTTGCACATTATCCATATTGCAGGTTCTAATTAAAACAAGGCCCTCATGCTAGACACCCAAGGAAGAGGGTTGCAATGCACCTAAAGTGTCATAGCGTGAACTAAAGCCATGTAAAACGACAAAATAAAAACAATAAAAAAGTATTAAATTGAATGACAGTGTACACAGGCAGGCTTCCTTACAGGTACATTACATCTAGAGCCAAAACCTTTTTTAAGAGTAGGGATGGTTAAAACCCTTGTCAGGCATTTTTTTGTCATCTGTGTCCAAAAGGGCCCTGTACTGTAGGCATAACAGGAAGTGAGAGGAAATCCCACCAAATTAAGGAAATATCCTCTCAGACGGCTGTCACAGGTTCATGTGTCCCGCTGCAAGTTTTTTACTTCCTAATATGAACACAAACAATGAAAAATTCCATATCACTTCAGACACACTTTAAAGTGAAATTTTAAAGTCAAAAGCTATTTCAAACGCTGATTAAATCACTTACAATGGATGCTTCTCCTTAATGTTCAAAAATTTTAGTTTCATGCAGTGTCAGCTGATCCTCTGAGCACTGGCCCTAATATCCTGATTTAGGGTGGCTTATTGCCCTTGCAGGGTCCTATGAAGCCACCCTTTTTATGTGCTGGCAAGCAGTGTGTCTCCACAAACTCACAGCCATCAGAAGGTAAGCCACTCCCCTGCTCCTCCCAACTCCAAGCTAATGGAAGCGGAGCTGAGAGAGCTGGAGACAGCTATTTGAAAGCATGATGACTATACGTGCATGGGTAAAATTGTTAATAAACACATTGCTGAGGAAATGCTTATTTATTTGATCTGGATTTATTACTAAAAAACGTTTTAGAGTTTAATACTACATTAATATAGTAATCTTAAAATAAGGGCATCTACCTCCTCCAAAATGTGGACTGGGAAATATGTGGTTCAGTAAATCAGATTACTCATCTTTAAATCTTCTAAGATATGGTAGTATTCTCTAAAGATGTGTACAGAAATGACTCGTAACAATGATAATAAAAAACATAGGCAAAAAAGAATTGCAACACACCTGGTGGATGGGAATAATGGGTATGGGTAGCCACACAACACTCACCATTATGCTCCATTAATAAGGGAAAGTAAAGGTCTTCTTTGGGAGAAACCTATGCTTTTGAGTACACCCAGGAACCACATATATTTTTCTGAGCTAATATTTCTGAGGCCATAAGTAGCAATTGTTTCAGCAACACTAAGCTGAAGAAACAGGAAGGATTTATTTTCATAAATGCTGTTTGTGATAAAATGGGCAGTCATTTTTGTCCCAGTGGCAAAACTATGAAGGTCACAAGAAGTGTAACTTCATCCATGGGGTGTCTGTGCACTGTTGTGTTTGCAGAGGCTTACGATGACCCTTTCATTGAGATGAAACTCCTCATGCACTGCTATGATGTAAGAAAGATTCCACTGATGTTGAAATAATGTTACCGGTGGGATAGAGGCTGCTCCTCCATAGGCAACACTAGACTTTAAAACACAGGCAAAACTGAATTACTATTCAGTGAAACCTATCAGCTTAAGAGTACAAATACATTGGCAGAAATCCAACCCAATGGATGCATCAATATTGTGTTTGGTGTAGTGTATTTATATTGTGTTTTCTTATACAGAAGAAACAAACATAAACTGTACTTTAAACACAGCAAACATTAATTTAATATGCATCTCCAGTTCTCCACACACATTTATTTTTTCTATCTGTGCTACCATGAAGAGAGAACAAAAAGTAAACCATTTTGTTTTAAAAAGTACATCAACAAGACAAAGATAATCAATTAGGAAATTGTGATAAATATCGTGTCTTAGCGGCAAAAGTCAATTTTTTGTGCTCCCGGCTTTACACCATTACAAAATTTAGGAACAAGTACATTATTATTTAATTATTGCCAAATAATTGAAGAATATGAGTACAAGTGTAGCACTAGAAATGTTGCCACCACTGTCATTTTCTGTTAGAGTGCCTTTTTTACTCAAATTCTACAGCGCAGATTTACTGTGGCAGACTATTACTTAATTCTCCTTAACTATTTTTATTGTAAAATTGTCTTTTACATGACATATATGAATTTTTACTAAAGGAGACAATGACCTGCTTGATGAGTTGCTCTCAGACTGATGGGTTTTTCTCTTGGATGATCTGGAAGGAGAGCTCCCACCCCGGTCCAAGAGTCTCTGAGTCTGAAAAGCTGGGTGGTTCAAACACTGATCGGTCAGATATCTATCAGATGGATTTAGCTTCAGTAAGTTCTAGATAAAACAAAGTATTGCTTATATTATATACCGGAAACAACAAAGTACAGATATTTTTACATATTATGAAACTATTGCATTCAAAACAGCTTAAAGTGACACTAAACTCAGGAGTTGAATCTTAAAATGCATTCAAGTACTTAAACTAACAAAAATGTATCTTATTTGTGTATCACTCGGCTGTAGATCCTCCAATCATCTCTGAATTGGTCCTGACACTGTCCTTACTTCTGGAAAGTGGCTACTTTTGTTCCCCATGGAGGGACCATATGAATATGGATTAGTCAACTAAACCTGAGATTGTAGTCCATCATGGTAACAATCTTGGAGCCGTGTCTACTTTACAACACACACAGGGTCCATGGGGAACAAAAGTAGCCACCCTCCAGAAGGAAGGACAGTGTCAGCACCAATTCAGAGATGATTTGAGGATCTACAGCCGAGTGATACACAAATAAGATACATTTATGTTAATAGCTAAGGTACGTGAATGCATTTTTTAGATTTAACTCCTGATTTTAATGTCACTTTAATACTGAAACCTGAAAAGTTATTTTGCTTTAATTTGCTTGATTTTGTAACTGGCAACTAACACCCTCCCCCTGTGTTAAGCTTTTGTAAAAATAAAAGACAGGTTTACTTGACAAACAACCTTAACTCTTTTTTTGTAATGTTACCATTAGGTTTAGCATCAGCTCAGTTTCTGACAAAGTTAGTGTGGGCAAACATTTTAATGCGTATGTCAAACCAAAAACGTTTCATTTTGTTTTAGATATAAGCACAAAAAAATTAATACCCCTGCAAGGTTTTTACTGCTGTCTGGGGCTACCTGACCACTTCTTTCACCAGGCAAGAAGTGAGGGAAATTTGCAACAGGGACGTAGACAGGAATAACAATCTGACAGGCTTTAACCTTCCCCTATTCTACTCTACTATTTTTTTAGAGCTGTCTGTATTGTTGTTGTAGATCTCCCCTCACTTCCTGTCTGATAAAATGTTGTCAGCAGGACAAGAACTGAGGGGAGAGCTCACTTAAGGAGCCTCAGACAACAGTAAAAAATATGAGAGGGGTTCTAACACTTCGCCACTCTATCCAAAACTAAGAGAAAGTTTTGGCTTAACAAAACTTTGGGCTGCTCCGCCCAAAGTATAGTTGGGCAAATTGCATTCCCACCGCTAGATGCAACACAAGAGCATAGGAAATTCCTGTACCCCTCGACTCTAATTAGTGGTGGAAATACTGTGCTAGCAGCATTCACCCTGCTATACCAACCACATGTAGACCATTTTTTTTCTATCTTCCTGTGAATCCTTCTTTTCTATAGAAGAGCTGCCTTTTTCCTGTTTTCCAGTCAATAAAATCATTTAAAAAAAGATTAGAAATCTGAAATTTTGATTGTTGGTGTTATAGAGCTGCTTGTTCTTACGACAATCAACACCGAGAGATATTAGTGCTGTTGAATTTACAGTGTCCTTTTGCTCTCTGGAAAAGCCTAATGTTTTTACATTGGAATAATGCAGCATTAGCGTTGCACTAGAGAATATTTATATTTGTTAAATTTTTAGTGAAAGGTCTACTTTAACCAAAGATTACCCCTCAAAGTTTCTACGTACCCAATCATGCCATATGTTAAGGGAGCAATCTCTTTAAATGTTCTCCAAACCTTTAGTCAGAAACATTGTTTAATTGGTTATTGAAGCTGTATTATAATGTATGAAATACATTAGCAGTAACGGATTTTTCCTTCTCAACAGGAACACATACAGTAAGTGGCAACGGGCACTCGTGAAAGATGTCCCATACCTTCATGAGGTCAAGTAAAACACCACTAATGATGCCTAAATATCGTCTTTCCAAAGACTGAGGGTGATTGACAGCCGGAAACTGAAACACAAAAGAGGGTGAAGAGATCTTTACTGCAAACAGACACAATAAACACAATAGAAACACAATTTTGTATCACTAATGTATATTATAGAAACTCTTTTGCCTCCCCATACATAAGGCAAACTTACTACCCAAATACAAAATATGCATTGGCATGATGAAACTCTACATTTGCTTGTCTTGGAAATTCTTTACAATATGATACCCCCTTAGTTGGTATATGAGAAAAGTAGGTTCCTAGCTGTGATCCGTTAGAAGACTAGAATTAAATGCTTTGTAGTCTTTACTTTTACATATGCCATTTCATAGTTTAATTGTTCACTAGCTTCAGGGAGTTCTTGGATAAAAGATTTCTGTAAAAGTGATCATATATTGGTATCCTATGAAGGTCAAAATTTGTTGCAAACCTATACTGAAAACATATGTGCTGTAAGGATATACAGTTGTGTGAAAAAGTGTTGGCCCCCTTCCTGATTTTTCATTGTTTTGCACGTTTGTCACACTTTAATGTTTCAGATCATCAACCAAATTTAAATATTAGTCAAAGACAACACAAGTAAACACAACATGCAGTTTTTAAAGGAAGGATTTTATTATTAAGGGAAAACAAAATCCAAACCCACATGGCCCTGTGTAAAAAAGTGTTTGCCCCCTAAACCTAATAACTGGTTGGGCCACCCTTAGCAGCAAGAACTACAATCAAGCGTTTCCAATAACTTGCAATGAGTCTGTTACAGCGCTGTGCAGGAATTTTGGTCCACTCATCTTTGCAGAATTGTTGTAATTCAGCCACATTGGAAGGTTTTCGAGCATGGACCGCCATTTTAAGGTCATGCCACAGCATCTCAATAGGATTCAGGTCAGGACATTGACTAGGCCACTCCAAAGTCTTCATTTTGTTTTTCCCAGACCATTATCAAGATATGGGTAAACAACGCGATTTAACAGCTTTTGAACGTGGGATGATTGTTGGCGCTCAAGCCATGGAGCGAGTATCAGCAAAACAGCAGAATTCGTTAAATGTTCAAGAGCAGCTGTTGTTAAAAGTGTTTAAAGACTAGTCAATGTTAGGGCAGAACGGAGAGTGGCAAGACTGGTACAAGACAACAGAAGGGCAACAGTGCAGTGTCAGATTCCTCGCATCACCTTTCAACATCTCGTGGAGTCACAAGGCGGCCCAACGAAGTCATTTCGTGGAGTCATCTCGTGGCCCAACGAAGTACTGATGGGGTGGTCATAATAATCTGGCCACTCAGTGTATATTGTAGAGGGGTGAATGGGCATTGGTACTAGATGAAAGCGTTTTCTGGTACTCGATGACACTAATAAACATTTACCAGTGTTGTCCAGTACTAAACAGATGCAATCAGCAAGTACTTTCCTTTCTCGCTGGCTCTGTACCCTCTTTTTGCGATCTGGACTGACCAATGGATAATGTGATTAGTGTACTGTGCTCATGAGCACATAAGCACTGTAGCAAAAAAAAAAAAAAGACATTATTTATTGTCATCACGCCCTGGGAGGATTGTCATCTACCAATTCAAGTAGCTAGACCAACAGTCCACTTTCCTAAACTAAAGAGTAGTGGGGTTTTTAAAGCAAAACTGTGGGGAAAACTTAAAGGAGAACTATGAGGTGAGCGAAAATCACTCAGCCTCATAGTTTGAGCCGACGTGTGTCAATTAAACTGTCACACGTCGGCTCAATAGAATCGGGAAGTGAGCGAACACATACAGTTGCTCGCTCACTTCTCGATCCTATCCCTGCAGAGAGCTGTGACTGTCACTCACGGCTCCCTGCAGGGATTACCCCCCTCCCCTGTCCGATCCTCTAACGCTGACTGGTGGAACGGACAGGGGAGGCGGCGGGTACAGCTGGCTCTGCCTCTAGATAGGCAGATCCAGCTGTCAATCACGCAGCTGGGTAGATCTCGACAGTAATGTCGGGATCTGTCCCAGCTGCGGCGGTATCAGTATACCGCAAACTGTACTTTCCCTTCAGTTCCTGCTCTCAAGATGCTTACAATCTATGGTCCCTATCTCACATACATGCATATCAACATATACAGTGGTACCTCGGTTCACAAACTTAATTTGTTCCACGATTCTGGTCGCGAACTGATTTTGTCGTGAACCGAATCAAACTAGAGGAAGCCATGATCATGTGTCAGAGCAGGGAAAATGGCTGTAGTTGTGGTCATCACCCAAAGCGGAGTGCGTGAACGGAAGCAAAATTTTGCCGAACTTCCTGTTCATGAACCCAGGTAACACTGTACTAGGGGCAATTTAGACAGCAGTCAATAAACCTACTAGCATGTCTTTGGAGTATGTGAAGAAACTGGAGAACCCGGAGGAAACCCAAGCACAGAAAGAACATACAAACGTCATGCAAATAGTGTCCTCGCTAGGATGTGAACAGAGGACCCCTTTGCTGCAAGTGCTAACTACTAAGCCTCAACAAAGCAATATAAGACAGTGCCATGCAATGCAAATATGCAAAGGTTTAGGAGGATTCATTTTAATGGTTATTCTGAAATATACAAAGCCTTTTTTTTGCAGATCAAGGCTGGATAATGTTTAATGCTCTGTGAGTTAATATCCTTTGATCTTTAGATTTTTGGGCTCAATTCAAAGGCTTAGCAATTCTCCCAAAATTTGTCTTGAAGGTACTTACAGAGGTCATCAAGAACCCAAACACGCTTGAAAATAGCCAGAAGCAACATGATAGCCCTACAGCTCTTTGTGCGGGACAACTGAAGGCATGAAAGCAAATTAAACAGTAATTTGTACTGAAACTGACAGTCAAGATTACTATGTTGTGTAAAAGCCAGCACATGTTCCTGAAGCATCAACATACATTACTATTTTTAACTTAGCCAAATATATTTTGATTGGCGTCTGATAAACCAGGCACAATTCAAGCGTTGCGTAATTAATTTTAATTAATTAGGCAAAAAACTGAGTGCAAACCCATGAATGCATTTAGAGAGTCCCGTTCAAAGATCTGAATTGACTACAGTACAATGAAAAAAAGTTGATTTGAAACAAAGCTACAGGATCTGAATATTGCTGTTATTCTCTGGCTATAACATATATGTATTGATCCATTTGTCTGGGGCTCTACATTAAAGTATCACTTCAGCCAAAAATTACAAATTGTCCTTTGCAAGCCTCCCACAACATATGATATGTTCTATTTTAACAGCTTTAGATTATGTAAAATGTGTACCCTTTGATTCTGCTGTTCCCCTGAATATCATCTTAGTTCTGGCACTGGCCGACAACCGAGATCAGTCGCTATTACAATGACTGGAAGGATTGAATGAAGGATTGTCAGTACCCTGAAGAAGCGTTGTCTCAATATTATGTATAACACTGGGGTAACAATCACAATGCATACCCACGGACTCTGACAACAGGCACAGGTACATATCCGTCCTCCCTCACTGTAAATGTAAATTAAGTTTTAAGTGGAAATGTCAATCAATTATTAAAAATAATACGTTTAATCAAAACAAAAGAAGTTAAATAAGCACTGGTATAGTTACCAATTGGGGGCGGGGGGTTATATGCTGCCTTTACAGCTACTGTAACTTTACTGAAACCAACTTTGCATTTTAACAACAACAATATGGTTTTTTAAATGTGACATTGAGCATGGTGACAAATTTTAACTGAGGGACCCATGCAATTTTGCTCAGTGCCTAACAATGTCTGGCCTTTTACTTTGAAATGCACACATATAGTCAAATGGAAAGCTGTTAATCACATGTAGTGGACAAAGAAAAAGCAATGGCCACATACAGGAGCAAAAGCCATGTTTTTACATTCCTTTTAAAAGAGAACTAAAGTCAAAACATATTTTGGGCTTTAGTCCTCTTTAGGGTCAAAGGAGTATATTTGCTAATGTACACCTGTGACCCAAAGTTAGCAGCAGGATTGTCAGGATCCCCCCTGCTGCCTGATTGACAGTTGGCTCTTCCTGTCTTCTGACAGAGCCAGCCAGAGCCAGCTGTGTCTACCCTCTCCATTGAGTGCTGAGGAAACATAGAGGGGAGGGGGGAATCCCTGCGGGGACCAGTGAATGACAGTTACGGCTCTCTGCAGGGAGAAGACCATGAGCAGAGTGATCAGCGGTTTGTGCTTGCTCAGCTCACGGAACGTGATGGACGGAACGTGATGCTTGCAGTGTAACACACTGCTCTAAGTATTGGGAAGAGTACATTTTTCTCTCCCAATACTTCTCCTTTAAGAGTGGATACCATGACAAGTATTAGCTATTAATCCAAATATGTAAACCGTTCCAATCTATTATTATTAAATATGTTTAATTTAAAACAAAAGTATCAGTAAACTTAACATTGGGTTTTCTCCAATGCTAGTCATATGGCTTGGTCCCTGTTGTTAAAGGGCACCTGAGACTAGGTTATGGACATTCAAGTATTTCATTAGTCTTAACATGTAGTAAATTAGCTTTATAACAAGCCCTTACTGACCTATGTAGCAGTAGGCATTGTGGTGCAATTCTTCCTCACAGTTCATAACAGAGGCATGGCTCATCTCACATTGCTTTGTCTGGCAGTGGGAACTCTGAAGCCTGCCAGTCTTCTAATGCAAACAAACAGATGCATTCCAACTTCAATGTCTCTGTTGTGGTCTTTCAGGATTAAATGCACCAAAGTGCCTCCAACTACATAGGTCAGCAAGTTTTGTTTTAAAGCCAAACTCTGGGAAAAATATTTTTTTACACAGCGCACTGGCTGTGTAAATTATCATGAAAAAGCTGCATGTTATGTGTGTGTGGGGGGCTGCTGCAAAGTTTAAACATCTAACCTTGCAGCATGCTGTTTCCTACACAAAACATAATTCTTCCAGGACCCCTAGTCTCTATACCCTTTCTAAGTCAAAGATAAAAAAAAGGACTAAAGCCAAAGATTTCCCATGACAGCCAGGAAACTAGCATTAGCAGGAAAACAAGGACAGCCTACATTTTTCTTTAGTTACGCTTTCTTTGGTAACGCCAGTATCTTAATTTCCCATCTGTTAAACTGATTACTGATGTTGAATTTGAATAGGTCTACTTTTATTTCAGTTTATATACACTGCAAAGGTAGGCTAAGGTGCAGTCCAGAGCCTTCACAAAAAAATTGTGTTATATGTAGACTCTTGGATTTACTATAGGCTGGTGAGAAAATTAGCTCTTCTGTTAAATGAGTTGTAAAGTTCCAGTATATACTCAGGGGCGTATACTCTGAGGCTGGGTGACACCCGGAGCGGTTACCGGGTGTCAACCCGCCGAGACGTCACCGCGCGGCGATCTTCTGATACCTGCCGGCAGAGAGAGGAGGGGACAGTCACCCGGCGGGATAAGGTATGCCGCAGGGTCCCCTTCTCTCTCCTCTCTCAAGACTACATAGCCCATAATGCATTGCTTCCAGCAAGCAATAATAATGTTACATTGTTCAGCCACTGAGTTGTAGTTCAGAAGGCAGGCTCTATGAGAGTTGTGGCACAAGGAAGTTCATATTCACAGGGATGAGTGAAATTGTGTCAGTACATTGAGGAAGTACAACCTATGGGCATTTCCAATAAGTTTACACACTTCTAGATTGATGTGGTTATTAGAAGTGGGAGAGAACTTATGGAAAGTCAAGCTAGAAATACATATTTATTTTGTCGTTTTTGACCATAGAAGCAGTGTATCCAAGGATGTAAATTGAATTAGATCATATAGGAAGGTTCCAGCACTATATAATTGTTAGTAAATCTAATTGTAAAGAGATTGTACAATCAAATAGTAATGTGCTTGTCCAGCATTAGAACACAAATAAATGAATATTTTGCAATTCCCATCACTCTTCTAAAAAGTAATGTTCTTGTCCTTAGCAAGCTGCATTATTATGTATACCTTTGTTTCTTGTATATCATAATTATTTGAACTCCAGTCTTCAGACTGTTTTCAATGTACCCAACAGTTTTGATAATTAGTAGTTCATGTTATCAGTAATGGAAGTTGGAAGACAGCTGGATTAATTAATAGTCCAGAATAACTTGTTTATGATAAGGCAAATGCACACTGAAGACATGTCTGATTTACAACCCAAGGACAGCAGAAAAATAATCAGTTCAATGATTTTACAAATTACCTCTTTAAAACTGAAGGCTATTAGTGCAAAGTAAAATGATGTTGAATTTACAACATGGCTGGTTTCCTGTCTTATATGGTGCAATAGCCATATAAGTAGCCTGTTTCTGAGCTGCTAATTTACCCTGGCTGTTGCCTGAATCATTTATGAATTATCTTGCTTGCCAACAGTCCATTAACTTTCCCAGCTCAGTTTGTATTTTATGGACTTCCCTTCTACACACTGATTCATTAGCCCCTGTCCCATGCAATGTCAACTGTTGGCAATTCTGGTGACCATGACATGAAAAAAAAAAAAACCCATAGTCCTTGCATCCTGATTCAAACTGAGTGGTTCTAAGGCTATATGTCTTGAAGAGACCAGTCCTACAACAAGTAATGCACAGGGACTGCAGGTGGCTTTTTTTTTTCAAAATTCCAAATTAAAATGGTCATGTGTGTCATACCAGCCACATGCCTGGCCCCTAAAATTCTGCCATCTACCGTGCAATATATATTTTTTGGAATCAGGTCGTTTTTATTGAACTGTTTGCATTAGATAAAATACACGCACAACTGTAAACTGCAGTCACATATAGTATATATAGCCACTTCTTTCACACAAAGAACATTCTCACCATAACTTACAGTATGTAACTAGCAGAAATATAACACTGTGTAAAGGGAAACAGTTTGTGAAGTGTACACCCCAAAATCATATGACAGCTTTGGTTTTAAAACAGGGTTGTTAAACGGTTTCAAATGAGGGATGCACGAATTGAGTTGATATCTTACCCACTGTGTATGAGAGTCACTCATAAGTGGTAAGTAAGGCCAATGATTTCCCTAATAGAAGAAATGCATGGGGGCCAAACCAGGTGTATTCAGCCATTCTGACCAATTTCTTTTTTTTTTTTTTTATTTGTGTTGTGGGCATGTGTGCAAGTAGACCAGACCTTCCATTTTCAAGTTATAATTCACGTAGGTTAACCAATCACCCACAATGGTAGGAAGTGGGGAAACTTTTGTTCATGTTTTAAGTTTCCTGGCCAAAAACTTATTTAAAACTCCTTGTTGCACCTGCAAAATCATTAGAGCACAAAGACTACTCTTTTCTTCTGTGCAAGGAAGTCAGACCCACACAATACCACCCAACTATTCATTCACTCATTTGTGGTAATTTTATATTTACCACAAAAAGTTAATGACATAACTGCTACATTTATAATTTACCTTTAGAAATGACAGTACATTTCACCTGAACATTCATAATTCCGTATACTGCCTATGTGAGAAAGTTAACTTTTTTTTATCAATGTATACCGAATGTATCATTGTATATGCAAATTGCAAATTAAAAGTATGTTGCTGTAGCCTTATTGCACAATAAATCAGAGGAACTGGTAAGAGTTTTCCACAGTAGTGTGTCAAAACGTGTAATTTATGGCTCATATAATAGGTTTGGAAGGCAAGGAAATGGAAAAATTGTGTTCTGTTGAGGTGCACAAGCAAAGGAGGGGGAAAGATGCAGACCATCACTGCATACATTTAATTTAAAACTTAAAAAGAAGGGATGTGGTATCAAGGTCTTGTTATCCTTGTGGCTTGCAGTAGGAAAGATTTGTGTATGAAAAAAATCTAATACCGCAGCATTGGCATGTGAAGACAGAAATTCACGCTGTAGATTAAATATCTTTGTATGTTTCATGACTCCTTCCTTGTCAAAACAGTATATACTGGTTCTAGCATATTTTCCATTGCAGGAAGGGTTAGTCTTTGGCACAGAGAATCCCAATTAAAGAGAAATTAGATAAAGAAGGGGTTAGGTTTACATTATGGAGGGTTAGTACTGGGGTTGACTATAGCGGTATGGGGGTTATTGTAAGGGGGCCTTAGAGCAGGATATACTTCTCTGGGTCAGAAGCTCTGCATCAAAAGTAATCAGAAATAAAAATCATGTAATTTACCTGGCTGACCTCACTTTACTTTAAACTCAGAGCTGCCAACCAGATATGCCCTTATTTTTAGTCCTGCTGATTCAGCAATTTAAATATCACTCCCCCAGCAGCAAGCACAGCCTCTGCACAAAGCCCCACACATGCATTAACACTGGAAAAACTGTATCACAATGTAGATGCTGGTGTTTTGCCACTGTCATTGCTGGCAGAAGACAGCATGAAAACCATAAAAAACCTTACCTCATGGAACCTCTAGACAATGATCACATTTTGATCCATGACCACAATGACCATTTTAACTGCTATTTTAAAGGCATGAAATTCAGTTTTTAGATTCTCCAAAGGATGAAGTTTAGGTATATTATGGATGTGCCAATACTTACCAGATTGCAAACAGTAGGGGTATAAAAGAAACCTCAGACGTTTAGGTATGCACATTGTGAAAAAAAACCATGATTTTTCAACAATAATTCTAATTGTGATGTATTTCTCTTATAACTGATTTCACTAAAGAATATTCTATGTGCACCTTGGGTTTTGCATCACTTTTTCTTTTTCTATTACTAATAAAAGAATGAATGCAGGTTGGTTTTATTCCCACCCACTTCAAAGTTACATAAAAATTTGGATGACAGTTTGTGTTATATAACTTACTGATCAGTGAAAGATGCACGGAGAGGTACATCTACAAAACATTTATTTCTGGAAAGAAGAGAGTTTAAGTAGTTCTGAATGCAATAAAATAATTGACTGGGGGAGAAAGTGTTCTGTTCTGTAAATGCCACCTGAAAAAGTATTAGTGATCATCTGCATATTTTTCATTGTAGGACATCTGAGCATATTGCTCACTACACTCACCCGCATCCCATGAAACCGAGGGTTGCTGTAGAACAGCTTCATTTGCTCTGGAGGAAGAGGTCCTAATACTTTCTGAATTGTGAAAAGCTGATCAATTTCACTTTCTCCAGGAAAGAGTGGCTGGCCATCGCTAAGTTCTCCAAGGATACAGCCCACAGACCACATGTCAACGGCCTTTCCATATGGGGCTCTAAAAAAAGGGAAAAAGAAAAACATGTTAAGAGCTGTCATTTATATTTTCAATCTTATTTATAGAATATCTCCAGCTGTCCATTTGAAATATAAGCTTTTCAAGCCCTTTGTGTGTGGCGCTCCAGACAAAGCATGACTTTTTGAGCTACTCCAACAAGGTTGGTGACATTTAACTATTTTCTCCACATCTGAAAAATTAAAGGAGCTGTCTGCATTGCAATATTGGGTTCAGGCACTGTTTAGAGTGATCTCCATTGTACATTATATTGGCTATAAAATAATTCCAACTGTATTATACACAGGGTGAGATTTATAACCCACGAACCTACTCAATTTCTGGTGCCTTAAAGTGGTACTGCCTTTCCAAACAAAAACCTGTATCCCCCTCCTAACCAAATATTGAATTGGTATTACTGGCCTCAGATGCAAATATCATAATTGTTTCAGTGACATTCCCAGATTTTGTTGGCTTTATTGGGTGCTTAGAGTTCAATTTAAATGTCTGTATGTGCTGTGCTGCTGTAGGGAGGAGAGGGATCGCCATCCAGCTGTACCACATGAAACAAAGTTACTTTTATAATGTATGGTGACATATTTTATATACTAGCAAAAAAAAGAATGTGGGGGGGGGCAAAAATGAGGGTGATTTTCTGAGAGCAGTCATCCTTCAGGGTCAGGCACACTATATGCTGCTTTAAGCTACCTCTGAGAGTAAATGCAGGAATATACAGTATATATTCTGTAATGCAGTAGTTGAAGGGAGCATATACATGGTAACATCTCTAATAAATAGATGATCAGTACAACAGCACAGGAATTCTAGAGACTGTGTGTATACTAGTAACAGTTGCATGAATAATGTAATGTGTACCTAGTGTATGTTATCACTGTGCTTTTGTTTCATATATGAGTGTACACTCACTGGGTAGGGCAGTCATCTGCACTCTTCAAAACCATCTATTCCCAGACTAATAAAACACCCACATCCCAATATTCCCTGGGTCAACAACGCCCCTTATAAAACCAATAAACAATATACACGATATCTCAGTAATAAGGATAGTCAAGCCATGAATTGTGTAATACACTACATCTTTATTAAAACGTATGAAAAAACTATCAAATGGGTCCTGCCAATGACCATCATTAAAATCACTGTATTACATCCACAATTATTGCTATGAAATTGTTCACAATAGAATACAGCTGCAGAATCAAATGACAGTAAAGCTCTATTCTCAAACAACTGTTACAATAGGCTCAATTCACAAAGGTAATAAATCACATAACTAAAATAAACATCTTTAACCATGTGCTAAATCTTTATGAATTGAACCTATAGTCAATGTATCTACAACAGTGTAACAGTGTGGGGATATTTGGAGGACCCTCTAAATCCAATGATCAAAAAAGTACACCTCCTAACATACTTGTACCTAAAGTACTTGACATTTTAATTCTAATCACTCTCAAATGCAGTACATTAGATGTCATAGTACTCACTCTAAATACAAAGGTACAATTAAAATAAAAACCAATAGCGCCAGAGATGACCACGTCACTGAAGAAAAATAAATGCAGAAGTTCTACAGGTTGCTGCCCCACATCAGTCAGGGAGACTGTAATATCTGATGAGAAAACAAAAACAAGGGGCGCCTTCCCTAGTGTAGATACATTTTTATTTTATAAATGGAAAAAGTGGAATGATACTCACAAAAGAGTAGGTAACACTGAGCCTTCAAATCAATGGTTGATCCTCAGTCTTGGCAAAAAACAAGATTTAGACAACAACAAGCATTAGAGAGCTGCACAAATAGTGGTTTCTATGTGACAGCACAGTATGCCTGGGTTTACACGTTCTGAGGAAGGGGGCGTGGCCACGGAAATGTGTAAACCCAGGCATACTGTGCTGTCACATAGAAACCACCATTTGTGCAGCTCTCTAATGCTGCTCTTGTTTTTTGCCAAGACTGAGGATCAACCTTTGATTTGAATTCTATACTATATCCAGGAAGCAATGGTATTTAATTTCCTGTAGAACATTTTATTTGCCCGCAAAAGTCCTTTGAACCCATCTAAACTGCTCCCTAATTCCAAGCACAGTGAATGGGTGCTCTGGTATGCAAATGAGTTAGAGGAGGTAGGCTAATGGCTGGCCCAACATCTTCTACTTTAGTAGTGGTCCTTAACATAACAGGCAGGTTCAGAGACTAACAGCCAACATGTTCTACTGTACTTTGACAACAACCCATACTTGAAGAGGTGTGGAACACTTGTGAATAAGACAATCTATATTCATATAACTCAGGTTTTACAGAATTTTGGGTGGATCTCACCTTCTGTATGTCAACCTGATTTAAATAACTACTTTTAAAGAATGCAGCATCTAGAAAATCTGGTGCACACAACTTTAAGGGCACAAAGATCTGTGTTCATGGGGGACCATAATAACAGTGTAATGAAAGTGGCACAAGACAGCACTAAGTTGAAATATAGTCATGTTCACTTGGCTACTATGGTTTAAATTGCCCTTAAAATGTTATAAGTACAAAGAGAGGAGACGAAACTCTCTTGGAAGTTTTCTGCCTTCAGGCTTGTTCGATTTGACTTAGAAAAGAGGTGTTTGTTATCAAATCAAAGAAAAATTTAAATCAAGATGTAGAGTAGTCAGGCACCGCAACTGTTATTAGCTAGGTTGCCAAGCTTTACAAGTGTAAACAAGAGGAGTGAAAATACTTCTTCTAAGATCCCTTATTTAGGCAAGACTTTCAAAGTTTCTAAAAAGGTGCAATTAAACTGCACATAACAAGCTTTGCAGCAAAACTGGGTTAATTAAGTCAAGCTATTCCAGCTTGAAGCAACTGCTTGTTCTAGTTTCTTGAACACTGAACAAACCTTGTTTTACCTCTATAGGCAGAGTGCACAGGTAAATGCTCAACGTACATGTTTTCCTTTGCTTTTACACAGTTTGCAATTATGGAGTCAAAGATATCAGGGTGAGATGAACTTTGAATAAAGTGTTATGAATAAAGACTTAACACTTGCTCATTATTATCCATGTTAAAAAAATGTAAAGCCTAAGAGCCATTATTCCATTATCCAATCTTCAGAAAGTGATGTATTATCTGAAAGCTTGTTCAGATCACATGCAGTCAATCTTGGCCTTTTTTTGACTGCAGATACCACAAACAATTTTAGCCCTGCACAACTGCTTTATCCAATTAACCACTAGAGGTCATTTTAATACATGCATAGCAATGGTGCACCGGGGGAAATGGGCACAAATCCCCCATAGGCTATTGTTGTTTGTAACACATAAGGTACAGCACTAAAAGCATTTCCATCGCCTTCTTCAGCATTTAGTCCATACAGCAGTACACAGCTGTTTAACTGTTATTGATGGTCCATAAAAGCAGTCCGTTCCCAACGTCCTCTGGTAGAGTTAAAATTGAGCTTGTACTACTGTAACACTGTTAATTCAGCATCAGTGCTCGGGCTCCTCGGCGGCCATGGCAGCTCCCTCCACCCACTTCTGCTGCTAAAGGCTTAGAGGGAGACTGCACTCCTACTGTTGGCTGGCTGTGTAGTGTCTGCGCGGAACCTGAAGAGAGAACATGCACGAGGTGGCTGCTGGAGGAATCACCTCAAAACGTGCAGGCAACCCCGCTGCTCCCGCCCTCCCACCACCAGGAGACGAAGAGGGCAGGGCACCTGAAACAGGAAAGGAAAAGAGTCACTGCAATTCCCTGTTCTTTCTGTGTAACCTCTGCACTGTTACATTCCGACCTCTACATTACACCGCTGACCTCTGCACTGCGTACATACTGACTTCTGACCTCTACATTACACCGCTGACCTCTACATTACAACGCTGATCTCTACATTACACCGCTAATCTCTGCACTGCCTACATACTGACCTCTACATTATACCACTGACCTCTAAATTACACCGCTGATCTCTGCACTGCGTTACATACTGACCTCTGCACTGCACTACATACTGACCTCTACATTACACTGTTGACCTCTGCACTGCATTAAATACTGACCTCTACAATGCATTACATACTGACCTCTACATTACACCGCTGACCTCTGCACTGTTACTTATTGACCTCTACGTTGCATAACATACAAACTTCGACATTACACCGCTGACCTCTGTACTGTGCGTTATTTCTGACCTTTGTACTGTGCGTTACACCACTGACCACTCTACTTTGCTTTATTACTGACCTCTGTACTGTGCGTTTTTACTGACCTTTGTACTCTACGTCACACCGCTGACCTCTGCACTGTGCATCACACCGCTGACGTCTGCACTGTGCATCACACCGCTGACCTCTACACTGTGCGTCACACCACTGACCTCTGCACTGTGTTATTACTGACCATTGTACTGCTGACTTATGCACTGTGGTCACACCGCTCACCTCTGCACCGTGCGCCACACCACTGACATCAGCACAATGCGTTATTACTGACCTTTGTACTCTACATCACACTGCTGACCTCTGTACTGTGCGTCTCACCACTGACTTCTGCACTGTGCGTTATTACTGACCTTTGTACTGTGCGTATACCACTGACCTCTGCACTGTGCGTCTCACCGCTCACCTCTGCATTGTGCGTCACACCGCTCACCTCAGCACTGTGCGTTATTACTGACCTTTGTACTCTACGTCACACAGCTGACCTCTGAACTGTGCGTCACACCTCTGAACTGTGCATCACACCGCTGACCTCTGTACTCCGAGTTATTGCTGACCCCTGTACTGTGCGTCACACCGCTGACCTCTGTAGTGTGTGTTACACCAATGTACTGTGCATCACACTGCTAAACCTCTGTATTCTGCATTACACTGCTGACCTCTGCATTACACCGCTGACCTCTGTACTATGCATTGCACTGCTGACCTCTGAACTGTGCGTTACACCATTGGCCTCTGCACTGTGCATTACACCACTGATCTCTGCACTGTGTGTAACACCACTG